AGGGTGTGTGCTTTGCCCTCGCCGTGTGGAAGAGCTTACACGCTGCCATGTGCAGTTATGTGGTTGAAGGTCCAGATCAGAAATGCTGTGTCCATGAGCCAGATTCTCAGGCTGAGAAGCCTTACTGGATGTGAGCCGGGCGACAGGGCCTCTGGCCAGCGGTGAGGAGCGGACAGCAGACAGTGTCCACTCCAGGTGGAAGGCAGTCAGCCACCATGGTGGAGGCCACCTGTTTTCTTAGCATTTCCCCTTGCCCCTGGGGTCACGTGTTTCCAAGGCCTAAGGGGGCGTGAAGCCTCTTACCTCCTTGCCGTGACATTTGAGGGCACAGTAAGGCCCCGTGGGCACCTCTGAGACGCAAGTGCCTCTGGGAAGGGCAATGCCACCAGTCCACATGCGGCCACCCGTGTGGCCTCGCCTTTGCCTCTGCCCCCGGGCCACAGCCTGCTGTCGGAAGCCAGGGGTGCAGTGCTCCCGGGGCGTTGTCCCCACCGTGCCATGGTGAGTGGGGAGGGCCACAGGTCTGTACCCATGCTGTGGCTGGCATCTGCTCAGGCTCCCCTTGGCAGTGGGCGAGGCAGCAGGGGCTCAGAGACACCCACACCCAGTGGACTCAGCTGCTCAGTGCTTTCTGGGCAGGTTGTCACTGGTCGTGACTCAGACCTGGAGGAGCCCTATGGGAAAGCTGGGTGACAAGCTGATCATTCCCTGGCCATGCCTGGGAGGGACAGCACCTCCATCACCAGAGCATGTCCGTGCACCCCGCTGTTCCCGGCCTGGCTGCATGGAGTGGCCTGGGAGCTTAAACGCACGGCGCTCGCTGTCTCCCCGACAGGCCCGGTGGGGTCCGGCTGAGGGATAGCCAGTGCCTGGAGTGTTAAACCTCCAGGGGTTCCTGGTGAGGACCCTGGTCAGAGCGACAGCTGCCAGCCGCTGCACCAGGGCCCCCTGGCACTCCAGGTAAACTGCAGGCGATAGCAGGAGCAGCTCCGGGGCCCCGTCGGGCAGAGCAGCCGTGCAGTCTCGCAGCTTCGCTGGCCCCTCCATGGCCCGTGGGATCCCTGTCAGGGCAGGGTGGCCCCTAACTGAAGCAGCGTCTGACTGCCTCGTCAATGCCTGCGTGTCCCCTGGCTCAGTTCCCATCAGGGCGCTCACGTGCTGGCAGGTCTGGGTGAGCTTTTCCATCAGGGGCTCTGACCGCGTGCGGGGAGAGCCGGTACTCGGCCGGGGCTAGGAAGATGGTCGACCCGAATGCCACCCCAAACTGAAATTTCCCCTCAACCCGACCCTGCACCTGTCAGAGGAAGCCCCTGCCTGCCTTTTGGCTTTCTGCGCCTCCCCTCAGTCCGAGACCGTCTTGCCCCCAGTGCTCAGAAGCAGGGCAGGCTCATACAGCCAATTCCCTGTGTTTTTGGGATTTTTTTTTTTCTTTTTGCTGCCTCATAATAAATTTCAAAGTAAGAAAAGTAGTGGGCAGATTAGACGGTTTTTAAAAGTTTATAAAAGAAAGTTGAGAAAAATGGCCAGTCAACATGAATAACCAGGTCAGCTTAATAAGTGATCAGAGAAACTCAAGTTGAAAAAAGGTCCACTTTTTTTTTTTTTGCCTATCCAGTTGGAGAATGTTTTTTTCAAAACATTCAAGGTGGATGCTGGCCAGTGTGAGGTGAAGTAGACACTGCTGGGGAAACCCACTGTTGTGGGCTTTGCGCGGGTCCTCACTAGTGTGTGGTGGGCGTCTCCTGGTGACTAATGACTGCAGATGATGTGACTTCAGCTGTGGGCTGTTTCCTCATGGAATAGCAGTCATTCACGGAGGGCCCATTTTCCCGCATTACAATTGCACAGTACTAGAAACAAATATCCCGAGTGGGGGATGGGTGAGAGAATCACTCAACAATCATAGAGTAGAAGGTAATCGGCCACTTAAAATCATGGTTTTTTGTTTTTTTTTTTTTGAGAGGTTTTTGCTATAGGGCATATGCGCTCGCCAGACAGACAGAGACAGAGAGAGAGAAAGCGAAAAATCACCCCCCAGGGGCAATGGCCACACCACAATCCCTTCTCCTCCATTCTTCTCTCGGGATCTTGGGCATGCACGCATGCGTGCCCGGCATGAGTTTAAGCTACCAGGTCCGGGACTCGAACCGCGGTTGACTACGTGGGAGTCCAGCGACATAGCCATTACGCTAACTGCTGGTCCCGTTAAAATCATGTTTTTGAAGGGCATTTTAAGGGTAAGAAAGGAGGTTAACATACTAAGGATGAAAATCAAATGCAAACCCATTGATTAAGACATAACCCTGTTCATTCATACATATCAACTAGAAAAAGAGATAGATAACTGTATCTGAAGCTAATAGACAGGTTATTTGTCTTTACACTTACATTTTCCAAAATTTTTGCAGCAAATATGATGTGTTTTATAGTCAGAAAAACAGTATTTTAAAAAAGAAAAAAAAGTTAAGGGAAGGGAATGTAATCATTTATTAAATTTAGACCTTTTAAAATGTAAAATAAAGCTTGCAAGGAGTGCTACCGATGAAAGCGCACCCTCGCAGCGAGCCCGTGAGTCGGTTGGGTAGATTGCCGAGAGGTTACTGATTTAAGAGAAAACACAGCACACCACTGTTGTGTGTATCCACGTGTTTTTGGTGGTTATAAAGAAACCACTCATTTTCTAAGCTGGTAGGTAATTGACTTGGGAGATTTCTGAAGGTGTCTAATTGGCACTACCTATTTTTTTTTTCTTTTCGGCATGCGTATGTTTTATAAGTGGGGAAAGCTTAAAATTCCTG